CACTTGTATTCTGGTAAGGATTTCCATTCGAATTCACTTCACGTTTATTTCCTTTTCTCCACCCCAAAATTTCTCTTCTCTGTTACTCTCTCGCGATTCGTTTCTTCTTTTCTTCTTTTTCCCTTCTACGTTTTGTAGGTTCGTGTCTTTTTTTTTTTTTTGTCGTTCTTCCCGGTTTCTTCTCTCTTTCTTTTTGGTTTCACTTAGAAACGCGGTTAAATGATTATCCGCTCGCCCCCTCCATCCCTTCTCCCCCGTGGTCGCTTCAGATGGTGTTCGCTCAGATGCTTCCTCCCCGCTTCTTCTCCTTCTTCTCCTACTCCCATGCGGTTCTATGTCCTGATTACATGATTATGCATTTGCCTCTCTCGGCCCAGGGATTGTTCTTCTTGTCGGGCGCGTGTATTAGCGGGTCAGTCTTCTCGTTCTCTTCCACGTACTCCCTCATCCTGGAAGAAAGAAGCACGGCTATGTTACTTTGAGTGAATTCGGTGGTTTGGCATGGTTTCGTCTTTGAGATTGATAACGATGGCTCTTATGGAAAGGATTTTTTTTTTTGAAAAACGACAAAACGCGGTAGATTGGAATAGGTTTACTTGTTTGGTTTCGTCTTTGCGATTGATACCGACGGTTCTTATGGGATGTGACTTTTTTTTTTGAACGAAATAGGAAGTATTGGATGATTGCAAAAGTTCGCGCCCGATTTGGAAATAAAACACAATCGGTGTGTGCAAAAGCAGATTTCGTTTGAAATTGAAATGGAACGAAATGAAGAATTATTTGAAAATAAAACACAAGCGGTGTATCTTTCGATGGGAACGTAACATTACGCTAAAAGAAACATCTGTGCCGAAGTCGATAAGGTTCTCGCCACCTTTGAAAATCGGACACGAACTTAAGTAAGCGGTAGATTCGGATAGGCTTATCTTTGCGACTGATACCGATGGCTCTTATGGAAAATGATTTTTTTTTTTAATAAAACAGGAAATACAAGTAAACAGTACATTGGAATAGGTTTGTTAGGGATATTAGCATAGTGAAAATTTCGAGATTAGCTACTTTTTACGGTAACTATATCAGAATCGTGACACGACTCGATGGTAATTTCGAATGACGACAGGAAAAGAGAAAAAAAAAAATGATAGATTTCTAATTAGTGAAGTAGCAGAAAATATAATTTGGTAAATGAAATTTCTGAAGATTAGATTAGCTTGTAAAATATTTTACCTTAACAGCGAAAAGTTTCTATACGGATGTTCTATAACGTTGACGCTCGTTATTTTTATAATTTAACATTGCAAATTAATTGCAATCTTGCAAACATAAAATTGTTTCTGTACTGCATACCTGAATCTTAAAGGAATAATGGATTTCTAATTTCTACGTTAACTCTTCTGTTTCTATAATCTAACGTTGAAAATTTCTACAACACGCATATAACGAATAACAAACAATAATGCTTATACGGTGCAACAAGTACAGGAAAAAAAGATTTATTACGAGGCTGTTTATTATGGTACACGTATTCAGAAACGATACATTTCTGTCAAATCGTTCACGGTTGTTCGTTCGGCAGTCAATATTTGTCAGATTATATATTCATTACGTTCGGCGATACCTGCGTAAATTTCCCGTATCATTATTACGCAATTGTTACATTATCATTACGTAACAGCTGTATTACCGATACTTGTTGGTTTCAACGTATTCCGTATGGATTATATATGTAGATCAATCTCAAGAAACTTGATTACATTTTATTTCGCAATCAAGTCCTGAGAATGTCGATTGAAAGATATTTCAAAATTCATAAAGGTGTTCTACGATATTTCCCAAAGATTACACTAAGCAGTCTAATTGAGAAATTTTAAAAAACGATTACACAAACGATTACACAACTTTCCTTCGTCGAAAACACCTTTTGACACTTTGAAAAAAATCGTTGTGATTTTTTTTTTATTAACTACATTTGCATATCGACGCGTGACTTGATTAAGATTTCTGTGAAATTGCACGTTTAAGAAAGTATAAATATTCCAGAGGTGTAATAATATGGTAATCGAACCCAGTTTCTAATGTAACAAGCCTTTTCCTGCAACGTTTACTCTATTACCAAGCATGACGGAAACATTAATATTAATATATAAATTAAGAAAAAAGAAAGGACAGTCGAGTGTGATGCGAATTATTATGTTGCGTAGAAACAAATACCCGACGTTGAAGATACTTGGAAGATAATCTGAAGAATAGTAAAGACATAATTACATAAGAAAAGAGAGATATGGTACCGTGAAATCAACGATTACAGGAAGCTCCATTCAATGCAAATTGTTCTACAATTTCAATTTTGTTTCTACAATTTTAGATCTGCTTGATAAAAGGAATTAATTAATATCGAAGCGCGCTCTATAACCTGCTTTTCTAGTTTCTGTACTAATTTCGTAATAGTAGAAAAGTGCTGATAAAAGTTAGCTGAAATCTTGCGTTGCAAAGAAAATTGCAACCATTGTGCGTGCAACTACTTTCTGACTTTAGAAAAAGGTGAAAATTAATAAATTCTGAATTGATGTGTTAAAAATCTCGAATACAAGAAAAACGGGAGAAATTTTTAAATTCAAAGTAAATTCACTTTTCCTTTAAGTTCGTTTGAAGGAAAGTTGCAACCATTATGCGTGCAATTACTTTCTGACTTTAGAAAAAGCTGCAAATTAATAAATTCTGAATGATACGTTGAAAATCTTGAATACAAGGAAAACAGAAGAAGCTTCCAAATTCAAAGTTCCAAAGTAAATTCATTTTTCCCGTAAGTTCTTTTAGTTGAAAGATTTTGGATTGAAAAGAAAGTTGCAACCGTTATGCATGCAATTACATTCTAACTAAAAAAGCTGACAATGGATAAACACTGAATAAATATGTAAAAAATCTTGCATACTATAAATTCACTTTTCCATTTCTGAAGTGTAAAAAAAGTCTGTCACCAAAAAGACTTTCTTCATTTTTAGCAACAATATTTTTCAACTGAATTCCAATAAGGAAGGACAATCTTTACATTGTAATTTTCAAGTTTATCTGCAAATATTTGCAAAGGAAACTCGGCAAGGTACAAGAAAGGTCTGTCTAAAAAGGTTGAAATAAATTTCAAGATCCACGACAGCTTGGTTGACATGATACAGGATCTTTGTAAACGTAACAAGGTTGCAAGCGGTGCAAAGAAAAGTGCAGCGAGAAACGAATAGTTGGCCGTTTCTCCGCAAAGGCTCGGTGAAAGGGACTCTGCTGTACTCTGGCCGATTTTGCGTCCAAGGAGAATTCTGTGTTCCGAAGGAACGCGACTGTTCGACCGCAAAAGGACAATTTTTCGTATTTCCCTGCAAAATGTCTCTAAACGAAAACCAGCTGCTCAGTTGCAGCCATCTTGCGCAACCAATTTAATAAAATAAATGGAATAAAGGAAATTCTAAAAATATTCGATATTTCCAGCAAATCTTTAAATTTGGTAAAAAAAAAGACGTCTTCATTTTACAACTTTTTCCTATTTTGGGGCATTTTTTGAATTTCCTTGGATTTTCGTTGAAATATTTTCCGCTTTCGACAGGAATTTGTGGGCTAATCTTATTTATGACTAAGATTATTTATAATAATCTTATTTATGTACAGTTAAATACAGTTTCTTTGTTATGTATTCTAAATATTTCTTTTTAATTTATCGCGATAGTTTGAGGTCTTTTCTTTACGATTTTTCTCACTTTCCACTGCATTCTGTAATTTGCGTTGATCTTTAGATATCTCTAGCTGATAGCGAATAATGGCTCGAGAGGAATTCTTAAACTGTGTTGCAGATAAAGCAGGTCGTCTCGTGCCTCGAAGTCATAGATACAATATAATTTTCTACAGTGGTTTTTTTTTTCCAAGTTGACGAGGTACAGAGGAATTTATTTTGTATTATGCGTCTAGATAGAGATAGTAGATATTATGTAATTGTGATGTAAAGAACTTATCACTTAATCACTGGACGCACATATATGAATGGAAAGTTGAACTTGAACGGTGATTAGACGGAAAAATGAATGAAGATAATTGGAAAACTATAAATTAGAAATGCTTGTTGCGATAATTTTCGGTACGCTTGTTTTATTTGATTGTTTAGCATTGTAAATAAATGAGTAAGTTGCACGAGAGAAGTGAATTAGCGTCGAAACGTTTTTCAATTTTCACTGATAAATGATTGCAACAATAATCTTCTGTTCTCGTTAAAGAACTCACAAGTTAGCGGAAAATGCGAGAAAATTATAGGCTTTCACTTATCGCTCTGTATTAGAAACGAATGTGGGTTAATGACCTGTTGCCGCTGGCACAGGTTACTTTCTGACGCTTGTAATTTCAATGACCGTTTCGTTCATTGAAATCTGGTCACGTTATTCGTAATTATTTCAAAATTTTACGTCTTTATCGAATTTGATTAATTTCTCTCCCAAAGATTAATTATCGAAACTTAAAAGAAGAGAATTGACACGAAGTAAACTTGTCGTTTTTATTAACATTACATTTAGAATGAAATATTCGTCTTCTTTCGAAAATCTTCATAAGAAAAATATTAATAAGTACTATAATTAATTTACTTAGCCATCTGAAAGGTTTCGCTGGAAAAAATCAGCAAAGGCTAAAATCAGTTGCCAAATGATACGAGTTGTTTATTTTAAGAATAGTGCTAGTCCAATTTCTCTAAACAGGAAAAAATGAAGTTACACCATTTTTAAAAGAAACCACATACATACATTTCCAGACAAAAAAGGACACAACTGTACTATCTTTTTATCCAGGAGATAAACTTCGTTTAGGAACTAAATCCAAATTGATTTGATTGAATTCTTTCGATGATTAGATTATCTTCGTTTTTACTTTCCAATTAAACCACGTGGATACACTTCCGGCAAAAAAGGGACGCAAACGTTCTATTTCTTTATCCAGAAGATGAACTTCGTTTTTGAACTAAATCAAAATTGTTTCGATGACCAGATTAACTTGGTTTCTACTTTCCAAATAAACCACGTGGATACACTTCCGGACAAAAAAGGGCACAAACATACTATCTTTCTATCCAGGAGATAAACTTCGTTTTTGAACTAAATCAAAATTGTTTCGATGACCAGATCAACTTGGTTTCTACTTTCCAAATAAACCACGTGGATACACTTCCGGCCAAAGAAAGGGACACAAACGTACAATCTTTCTATCTGATAGTATATTTTCCTTAACTTCCAATAGAATTTCGTTTCTGAACTAAATCGACCTAATCGTTGGCAGAATTACAGCGAAATGGAGACAATACCATTTCTTCCAAAATTTCAGAGACGGAGAGGATCGAAGTTAGGTGCACGGCAGTGCGAGGGCGAGAGATTAGCCTGATCGGTAGGAGAGGAAAAAAAAAATGGGAGGTACCTTTCACTCC